TTTAATATTATACATAAATGTTAAGTAAATTGAACTGAAGTAAATTTTGTTTCAAAAATGTATTTACTTGGCGAGAAATGATATACTTTATATGACGTTGCACACGAAATAATGACTATAAAATAAAGAAAATGCATTAGAAGTTCGTTTTAATTTAAAATCTCATAATGGACATTTATATTCAAAATAATTTCTCGCAAAGTAAATAAATTATTGAAACAATATAAATGTACTTTCAATTTACTTAACATTTATGATATCACATTTTTAATCTTTATAGTGCTTTTAAATATCTGTTTTTTTTTAACTCAGCTGTTTTCTACAAAGAACAAAGTTCAACGGAGTGCTTTTGTTGTGATATCACAATTTTTTTATTTTTTGTTTGTATACATTAGTTGGCATATTTATGATTAAATAATACTAATATAATATTATCGTACAGGAGCTGTAAACACAGTACCTAATAGCATACTAATTCACTAATACAAGTAATAATTACAATTAAAAAATACCAACATTTACACTRTTTAAATGAGTTACTTCTGCTCAACATCTGTCTTGGCACCAGTATATATATTTTTTTTACTTAGTTTGTGACGCAATTGTGACATTAGATTTTAAAAACATTATTCAAAAATTTACCAACAAATTAGTAGTTCTTCATCTAATCGAAACTCAACAGGACACTTCTTACAGAGCTAACTGTCACTAAAAAATAAAAATTATCTCATGATTCCCAAAGGAATTTTTTGATTTTGTGTGACATTTATTATTTTCAATAAAGTGAAAATCTATACTCAATGAAAAGAGTTTGCATTAGTTGTTAATGGTAACTTTAGCACCTACCTATAATAGGTATAATAATAATAATAATAATAATAATAATAATAATAATGTCAACTCAATATCATTTAAACATAATGATTATCCAACAAGATAAAATTAGGTATTAGTGAATAAATTATTGTATGAATTATTTCAATCATAATTATAAATTAATTATTTATATTTCTAAAAAAATATTTTATCGTGGCTCACGAGATATCATACAGTTTATGATATTTTATCATCCGTATTTCGATCTGTCTCTGTTTAGCTTTTGGGTTATTATTCACAAAACGTYCTATTAAATTTATATAAGTTTATCAATATAACATATCCATATTCTTCTTTAAATTTAATGTTTTTGACAGGCCAAAGGGCATAGAAATCTATCATTGTACGTCAGGCACAACGAATCCGATCTACTGGAAGGACATCGAACGGTTGGGCCATGAATTCATATTGGAGAACCCATTTAGTGACATTTTGTGGTACCCTGGTGGCAGTTTCAAAAGCAACAGAGTCGTTAACTATTTGTGTGTAGCAGCATTTCAGATGGCACCTGCCTACATCATTGACGCGCTCGCCAAAATTACTGGTAGACAACCTAGGTAAGATTTTAGAAATATTATATATATATATATATATATAAATTAATTTTTGTCTGCCTTCATATATTCCTAAATGACTGAACGGAAAGGGCCGAAATTTGGTAAAGAGACATATTAGACCTATGGTTAGAAGATAGGTTAAATTAAAAAGTGATAGATTCAACCCCGGGAGGTGCCCTAACAGACATTTTGAGATTTACGATGGAAATTGTTGTTTATTTATAAATTAATAAATGGCTGCTATTATTGATGGTTGATATTAGTGCGAAAGAAATTATTATACCTAAATTTGTTATTATTATTTGTTCMCATGCCAAGTGCGTCCATAGAATTACAAGTTGATATTTTGTGTTTATTTTTTGTATAAAATAACATCGTTTCTGTGCAGTTATGCCTCTCAAAAAAGATTTTTGAATATTATGAATTTTGTTATGATAAATAAAAGTTGCTAAGATCTGGTTGCCATGGGAAATCATAAATTGTTTAAAATACATATCGGCCTATAATTTATCTTATTGCATATCATTGTCTCGATGAGTCTGTACGATTAATTCATATGCCATTCTAAAAGTTTAATTGCGTTTTTCCTTATAATTCGATATTATAATACTTTATTAATATCATTGTTAACTGTGCACTTCATAGTCCGTAAAAAATTCTACCCCTTAAATTATGCCTCTTGAAAAAAGATCGATCAGTAGTTGTATGTCTTAAGCCCAAAAGAAAATGGTAATACGAGCTTCAGAAACAATCGAGCAAGGAGATGCAAGATTGGAAACCTACAGACAACTTCATGCTCGATACGGATGAATCACTCACACAGATTCGTATCTCAGTGCATTCCATTATGATATTAATTATAATTACAGCATTCYTCCAAGTGTGGTTATTGGAAAAATGTGTAAATTATGCATATTGCAGAACATTCAGATTCAATAATGAGGCTCCAGGTATGCGTTTTTCTGGTGGAAAAGTAAAATTGCCAGAATTACATATTATTCTAAGTGCTGAACTGATAGCAACAAAATTTGGTTTAGAGATATATTAGACTTATGCGTAGAAGAAAGGCTAAATTGGTCTAAAATAAGGTGGCCTAAATATCATTCAACCTCAAATATTTGTATAGTCAGACTTTTCTCGATAAAACGAATACATTTACATTATGATAAACTAAATTGAATATCGTTGTAAGATTATTACTTAGTTTTAACCGTTATCTATCTATATGTATAAAATTATACTGCTAGCATAATCACAGGTAACGAMTTAAACACATAATTTGAGACATATAAGAAGTAGAACTTTTAACGAACTACGAAGTGTATGGATTCAGCTATATAGTATACTATAGTTATAAATATATTATTATAAAATAATATATATTGCATACATTATTTATCGATGTAGATTTTAAACTTATCAATATTAACAGAGACAAACGCATGTTTTTTAATCTATAGRACTATATAAATGTATAGGACAATAGTGCACTATAGTAACCATTATGAGTATTTATTTAAACATAATAGTGATTTACTCAAAAAATACTTTTTAAGTTACTCCTTAACATTATAAAATTTTAAAAACACATTAAGTAGGTATACATTTATTCTTATACAATTAAAAATAAATAAATATAAGAAGTAGATTACGTTGAAGTTTTGAATAAACTACGACGTTTTAACATTAAAATGTATACATAATTATACGGGAGATGTCTCGTTAAAATAAATTGAATTTCATCTTATCCATATCTTAAAATGTATTTATACTCTTGGACTATTGAAGTAGGTAATAGACATATTTTAGTTAATAACTAGTTATAAGTACTGATAATATATAACGTTATGTTTAGACGAAAATAGTATGTATACTTTAACATAATTTTATGACGTGTAGTAATCTTATCAATTTGATCGCAGGCTATACATACCTACCACTACCATAGTACCTACCTACAATATGAGCATAGTTTTGGTCTCGCCCATCATGCAATTCAGCTAGGTACGCTGAGACCATGAGTTTTTTTCTTTAGACACGGACAGATAAGTAACCATGTCATGCAAACTTGTGACTCACCTAGATATGATTACCCATGTTTGTGCTTTGGTATATTGAGAATTTTAAAATTATTTTTAAAAGCGTGTTCACAAAATTAGAAAAAGTGTTTAAAGTAACGAATCAGTAGTAGTAATAACTGAATGCCTTTATGAGAGTGAAGAATGTAGATGATAAGAAGTCAAACTTGAATAAATGATTTGAAAGAATCAAATTTAAATCTTGAAGAATCCATTTGTATTTGGTACTCATACAAGCAAGAGTGATACACATGTTTACTAGTCTCACATTTCAACATTTTAAGTTACGTTCTGCATACTTATATATTATAATTGATTACAATTTATAGGAGTAGAAATCTCGTACCTACCTACTATTCAAAATACAAAATATTGTTGCTGCTTGTATTTATAATAAATATATTTTATGTACACAATCATATCCATATCTAATCGTTTA